CCCCTGCCCTGGTGAAGGGGGGAGATTCGTAGGTACCCACCAAGGGGAAGCAGTCGATGGTGGCACCGAAGAGGATGATTGAGGCACCGAAGAAGGCCACCACCGGGGGAGAGGCGTAGAAGAAGCCTGCCACCGGAGAAGAGCGCCGAAGAGGCGCCAAAGAGGCCCACAGAGGGGCCTGAGATGGGAAAGAAGAGGCCCGCTGCTGACATGCCGAGGGAGGAGCCCTCGCGGAAGCTTGCCAACACGGATAGGTAGGCCGAGGAGGTGGTGCAAAGGTCCACACCTAGAGAGCGCCCATCCAGGCCTTTGGCAGCCCTCATCAATACAATGTGTCTTCGAGAGGACCAAAGGGGCTGGTAAGACTTTTCGCCCCCAATGGCAGCTCCGAGAGGGGAACTCCATCCGTGACAAGGGAGTCAGCCAGGAGCTGGTTAGCGGATCCATCCTGCCGAGGGATCTCTACCGCCTTCTACAAAGCGACCCCAAGTCCATTTACGACGAGGGCCTATACCATTTGGCCAATTTAAGACATTCTTCAATATTTCATTATGTATATATTTTTATTTTTTATTTTCACTGATCGGTTTTGTGGAAGGCCTGTCTACACTTCCTCGGTTTGGGGAACCGAACAAGGCTGGCCATGGGTCACGCCATCAAGGCTGAGAAAGAGAAGAAAGCCGCTGAGGAGAAGCTCTAAAGGGAAAGGGAGAAGCTCTAGAAGGCAATCGCCGCCACTGAGGAGAAGCACCAGAAATTCTGAAAGGCGCTTTTAGACGAACAATTGCTACGGGTTTGTTTGAGGCTCAACTGAAGGAGGCGTGGCAAGGGCTCTCCAAAGAGTAAATTGAGTGGGTGCGGCTGAAGAGCATCGTCACGAAAGCGAAGAGACGAGTTGCCGAGGCTGAAAAGAGAGCTGTCGAGGCGGAAGCGAAAGCTGCCGAAGCCCTAGCTTCAGTAGAGGAGTCAAAGAAGGCAGCGGTCGAGGCAGTGGAGGTGTACAAGAAGTCTTCCGACTTCCAGGATGCGTTGGCGGAGTATGCTTCATCGTCCTACCTTGACGGTATTGAAGATACCAAGAAGGCACTCCTACTGGTGTTGCCAAATTTTGATGTCGAGGGACTGCAAGTGATCCCTAACGCTCCTGTCGAGGCCCAACTAGAGGAAGACGTCGTTCCCTCTCCTGCCAATGACGAGGCGCAGGCGTAGACTTCACCCCCCCTTCTTTTTTGTTCTATTGTTGTAATACTTGCCATCTATTTTGCTGCTTTTTTTGTTTTTTTTAAGGCAATACAAAATTTTGTAAAGGCTATATAAGACCAACAATGAATAGTGAATGAAGCCATTTTTTGTGTATGCTGTGTTTCGTGCATGTTGTCTTTTCCATTTTCTCATTTTTTTTGTGAGAGGTCCTTGCCCCTCTGAAAGGTTGAAACCACGATACACAAGGCACACACGATCCAGTCATAGTATTTGTTTATTTGCACGCTTGTCTCGGGTTGTTGGGATATTGGAACCAAAGTGGAGTCATACGTCCGAGGCGGGGCTCGCCTGGCTTCTAGATCCCGTGCTATCCCAGGCCAGGCCGAAGAGACCTGGCACCCTGACCGAGGTCTAGGGCCGAGGTACTTGGGTGGA